AACATGTTTGAAAGAAAACCTGCTGCCAGTATACACCAATATATATATATATATATATATGTTATTAAATATGACCGAAAAAGTAAGATTAATAATTCTAACACGAATTTTCTCAATCTTTCGTACATTTCTTTTCACTGTTGGAGGTAAATCAAAAATCAATTCTCCAAAATTCATTTTTATTTCTAGTCTGACGCGACATGAGCGCGTTTCGTAAAACTTATTACATTTTCAAAGACTTTAGTTCACAAATACACAACTGAATAGAACTTACGCATATCCGATTTTATATCTACATTTGAGTGAGGTGGAAGGGGTGATGTGGCATTAATACAAGACAGAACAAGATGTGGCATTAATAGGGTATTAATTTCATCAACACAAGACAGAACAAGAGTATTAATAGGGTATTAATTTCATCAACACAAGACAGAACACGAAACAATGGATATTGAATAGAAGTGTTTGTAGAAAGCCTATTGGTCCATATTTCTTGATGCTTCTATATTGGAGCGGAGTCTTGAGGTGGGTAGAATATAGTTGTGCAATAATTGGCTGTTGATTGCTGGTGTTGACTTCTTGATGTGTAGTGCCTCGCAAACGTCAAGCCGCCTGCTATCGCTGTATCTATCGATGATTTCTGTGTTGTTTACTAGGATTTCTCTGGCGATGGTTTGGTTGTGGGAAGAGATTATATGTTCCTTAATGGAGCCCTGTTGCTTATGCATCGTTAAACGCCTAGAAAGAGATGTTGTCTTGCCTATATATTGGGTTTTTTGGAGCTTACAGTCCCCAAGAGGGCATTTGAAGGCATAGACGACGTTAGTCTCTTTTAAAGCGTTCTGTTTTGTGTCTGGAGAGTTTCTCATGAGTAGGCTGGCCGTTTTTCTGGTTTTATAGTAAATCGTCAGTTGAATCCTCTGATTTTTGTCTGTAGGGATAACGTTTCTATTAACAATATCTTTCAGGACCGTTTCCTCCGTTTTATGAGCTGTGGAAAAGAAGTTCCTGTAAAATAGTCTAATAGGGGGTATAGGTGTTGTGTTAGTTGTCTCTTCAGAGGTTCCATGGCTTTTCACTTTCCTTCTCATGATGTCTTCGACGAAACCATTTTAGAAGCCGTTATTGACTAGGACCTGCCTTACCCTACAGAGTTCTTCGTCGACTTGCTTCCATTCTGAGCTGTGGCTGAGAGCACGGTCGACATATGCGTTAACAACACTCCTCTTGTACCTGTCTGGGCAGTCGCTGTTGGCATTTAGGCACATTCCTATGTTTGTTTCCTTAGTGTAGACTGCAGTGTGGAAACCTCCGCCCTTTTCCATGACTGTTACATCTAGAAAGGGCAGCTTCCCATCCTTTTCCATCTCGTAAGTGAAACGCAGCACGGAACTCTGCTCAAATGCTTCCTTCAGCTCCTGCAGATGTCTGACATCAGGTACCTGTGTAAAAATGTCGTCAACATACCTGCAGTATATGGCCGGTTTCAAGTTCATGTCGACTAAGACTTTTTGCTCGATGGTACCCATGTAGAAGTTTGCAAACAGGACACCTAGGGGAGAACCCATGGCGACCCCATCTACTTGCTTATACATGTGCCCATCCGGGCTCAAGAAGGGTGCCTCTTTAGTACAAGCTTGGAGTAGTTTCCTCAGAATATTTTCTGGTATGTCAAGAGGAGTACAGGCTGGATCACGATACACTCTGTCGGCTATCATTCCGATTGTCTCGTCCACAGGTACGTTGGTAAACAGCGATTCTACGTCCAACGAGGCTCTTATCCCTGTGGCCCGTGTGCCCCGCAGTAAGTCAACAAATTCCTTTGGAGACTTCAGGCTGAAGGCGCAAGGAACATAAGGAGTCAGCAGGCCGTTGAGTCGCTTCGCCAGTCTGTACGTGGGTGTGGGTATCTGGCTAATGATTGGCCGAAGTGGGTTTCCAGGCTTGTGTGTCTTGACATTTCCATACGCATATCCAGGTTTATATTCCCCAATGATCTTTGGCAGGTGGAGTCCGGATTTCTTGGCGTTCACAGTTTCGATCAGTTTGTTGACCTTTGCTTTTAATTCGGCTGTAGTGTCCTTCGTTACCCTTTGGAACTTAGTTTGGTCAGAGAGTATGATGTTCATTTTCGCCAGATATTCGTCTTTTTTAAGAATGACATATATTGGCGAGTCTTAGTCGGCATGAACTTGAAACCGGCCATATACTGCAGGTATGTTGACGACATTTTTACACAGGTACCTGATGTCAGACATCTGCAGGAGCTGAAGGAGGCATTTGAGCAGAGTTCCGTGCTGCGTTTCACTTACGAGATGGAAAAGGATGGGAAGCTGCCCTTTCTAGATGTAACAGTCATGGAAAAGGGCGGAGGTTTCCACACTGCAGTCTACACTAAGGAAACAAACATAGGAATGTGCCTAAATGCCAACAGCGACTGCCCAGACAGGTACAAGAGGAGTGTTGTTAACGCATATGTCGACCGTGCTCTCAGCCACAGCTCAGAATGGAAGCAAGTCGACGAAGAACTCTGTAGGGTAAGGCAGGTCCTAGTCAATAACGGCTTCTCCAATGGTTTCGTCGAAGACATCATAAGAAGGAAAGTGAAAAGCCATGCAACCTCTGAAGAGACAACTAACACAACACCTATACCCCCTATTAGACTATTTTACAGGAACTTCTTTTCCACAGCTCATAAAACGGAGGAAAGGGTCCTGAAAGATATTGTTAATAGAAACGTTATCCCTACAGACAAAAATCAGAGGATACAACTGACGATTTACTATAAAACCAGAAAAACGGCCAGCCTACTTATGAGAAACTCTCCAGACACAAAACAGAACGCTTTAAAAGAGACTAACGTCGTCTATGCCTTCAAATGCCCTCTTGGGGACTGTAAGCTCCAAAAAACCCAGTATATAGGCAAGACAACAACATCTCTTTCTAGGCGTTTAACGATGCATAAGCAACAGGGCTCCATTAAGGAACATATAATCTCTTCCCACAACCAAACCATCGCCAGAGTAATCCTAGTAAACAACACAGAAATCATCGATAGATACAGTGATAGCAGGCAGCTTGACGTTTGCGAGGCACTACACATCAAGAAGTCAACACCAGCAATCAACAGCCAATTATTGCACAACTATATTCTACCCACCTCAAGACTCCGCTCCAATATAGAAGCATCAAGAAATATGGACCAATAGGCTTTCTACAAACACTTCTATTCAATATCCATTGTTTCGTGTTCTGTCTTGTGTTGATAAAATTAATACCCTATTAATACTCTTGTTCTGTCTTGTGTTGATGAAATTAATACCCTATTAATGCCACATCTTGTTCTGTCTTGTGTTAATGCCACATCACCCCTTCCACCTCACTCAAATGTAGATATAAAATCGGAGATGCGTAAGTTCTATTCAGTTGTGTATTTGTGAACTAAAGTCTTTGAAAATGTAATAAGTTTTACGAAACGCGCTCGTGTCGCGTCAGACTAGAAATAAAAATGAATTTTGGAGAATTGATTTTTGATTTACCTCCAACAGTGAAAAGAAATGTACGAAAGATTGAGAAAGTTCGTGTTAGAATTATTAATCTTACTTTTTCGGTCATATTTAATAATATATATATATATGTAAATCACGCAGAAATTAACACGTGGTGAATAATATAACAATGTCTAACCACTAAGGAAAATGAGAGAGGAAATTCCTTAAATATTTTCGTATCAATCAATACATCTTCAGAATCAATATATATAAATCGCAATGAAATTACAATGCCGTGATATAACAATGAAAATTATTTTGAAGCAATGGAGGGACTCGAACCCGCGACCTGGTGATTCCCAAGACGACCGACTGCCTTAACCGACTCAGCCACAGTGGTACAAAAAGTTGACCAACCTGAAGATTTTCATCAATATATCACATCATTGTGAACACGAGGTAATATAGAAAAAAATGATTAGTTTAGATTTATTCAAAGCTATGTAAATACTGGTTTGGAAATAGGGTAGTTGATTCATGGAGCAAATTACCGGATAACATAATAGACGTCCGTCCTGGACCATTAGCAAGTCGATTGTGATGATTGATTGACGAAGATTAAGCCACCCAAGAGGGGGGCACGGGCATGAATAGCCCGTAAATCGGAGCGAGGGGGAGCACGAGCATAAGTAAGGTGAGGAGAGGAGCAGGTGGGAGGAGATCATTCCTAAAAGGAAAGAGCAAAACGAAAATGTAAGAACAAGAAGCAAAAATGGGTACGGAAGGGATGGGTGATATAATAGGATGACGGAAGGATAAGAGGAGAAAGAATGATAAAAAGGAGGGGGGGGGGGTAGGCGTGTGTGTATCAGAGCCGATTCAACAAGACGGCGTCTGTAAAGAGTAGTAGAGGCAGGAAAGATTATTTTAGAAGACCAATCAATGGGATGATTAGAATCCCTAATAAGACATGAGAATAAAATAAAATAAGCTTACCCCCCATTTTTTCACTTTCTCCATATATTCTTACGTTCCCTTTTTTCCCGCCACCCCTATTATATCACCCATTTCATCCGTATCCCTTTTTGCTCTTTATTCTTACCTTTTTCCTTGCTCTTGCCTTAAGAATTTACCTCCTCCCACCTGCTCCTCACCACACTTTTGCCTTACATATACCCGTGCCTCCCTCGCTCCCTTCCTTGCGGGTTATTCATGCCCGTGCCACCTCTTGGGTGGCTTAATCTTCCTCAATCAATCAATCGCTCCCATCACAATCAACTTGATAATGATTCAGGACGAACCAAAACAATGTCGTTGTCTCCTCGTCTTCTGGTCTATGGTCTGGTCATCACATCTTCAGCCACTGTTACTGTGACTCATGGTCTGCATACGGGGGATTGTTTCACGCGCAGGATAGACATTATATGTGAATGAGTTGTGTGGATGTAAATAGGAGCTGCCTCGTGTGGGTCAATATAGCCCTTCTGACGTTCTTTATTGTTATTAGAAATGCTTGAAGAGAACGCATTCACCCATGCGTACGTGAGTGAAGACAATGCACTCACCCATGCGTACGTGAGTGAAGACAACGCATTCACCCATGCGTACGTGAGTGAAGACAACGCATTCACCCATGCGTACGTGAGTGAAGACAACGCATTCACCCATGCGTACGTGAGTGAAGACAATGCACTCACCCATGCGTACGTGAGTGAAGACAATGCACTCACCCATGCGTACGTGAGTGAAGACAACGCATTCACCCATGCGTACGTGAGTGAAGACAACGCATTCACCCATGCGTACGTGAGTGAAGACAACGCACTCACCCATGCGTACGTGAGTGAAGACATCGCATTCACCCATGCATACGTGAGTGAAGACAATGCACTCACCCATGCGTACGTGAGTGAAGACAACGCACTCACCCATGCGTACGTGAGTGAAGACAACGCACTCACCCATGCGTACGTGAGTGAAGACATCGCATTCACCCATGCGTACGTGAGTGAAGACAACGCACTCACCCATGCGTACGTGAGTGAAGACAACGCACTCACCCATGCGTACGTGAGTGAAGACAATGCACTCACCCATGCGTACGTGAGTGAAGACAACGCACTCACCCATGCGTACGTGAGTGAAGAGAACGCATTCACCCATGCGTACGTGAGTGAAGAGAACGCACTCATGCGTACGTGAGTGAAGACAACGCACTCACCCATGCGTACGTGAGTGAAGACAACGCACTCACCCATGCGTACGTGAGTGAAGACAACGCACTCACCCATGCGTACGTGAGTGAAGACAACGCACTCACCCATGCGTACGTGAGTGAAGACAACGCACTCACCCATGCGTACGTGAGTGAAGACAATGCACTCACCCATGCGTACGTGAGTGAAGACAACGCATTCACCCATGCGTACGTGAGTGAAGACAACGCACTCACTCATGCGTACGTGAGTGAAGACAACGCACTCACTCATGCGTACGTGAGTGAAGACAACGCACTCACCCATGCGTACGTGAGTGAAGACAATGCACTCACCCATGCGTACGTGAGTGAAGACAACGCACTCACCCATGCGTACGTGAGTGAAGACAACGCACTCACCCATGCGTACGTGAGTGAAGACAACGCACTCACCCATGCGTACGTGAGTGAAGACAACACACCCATGCGTACGTGAGTGAAGACAACGCACTCACCCATGCGTACGTGAGTGAAGACAACGCACTCACCCATGCGTACGTGAGTACATACACACGCATTGGATTCTGTGCAAGAGAGTGAACAAGAACATGTTCAATAAGAGCAAGGGTTGAGGTACGAACCAGCCATCACAGGGACAACCATGTTCGTACCAACAGCATTTTTCCACCAGTAAAAACAACAAAGGAATGACCACATTAGAATGATATACACAGAGAGTCAGAGCAGGAGTGTGTGTGTGTGTGTGTGTGTGTGTGTGTGTGTGTGTGTGTGTGTGTGTGTGTGTGTGTGTGTGTGTGTGTGTGTGTGTGTGTGGCTGTACGATTGGGCTAGCACTCGAGTCTGGCCTTGGTGCTAGCACTCGAGTCTGGCCTTGGTGCTAGCACTCGAGTCTGGCCTTGGTGCTAGCACTCGAGTCTGGCCTTGGTGCTAGCACTCGAGTCTGGCCTTGGTGCTAGCACTCGAGTCTGGCCTTGGTGCTAGCACTCGGGCCAGACCTTGGTGCTAGCACTCGAGCCAGATCTTGGTGCTAGCACTCGAGTCTGGCCTTGGTGCTAGCACTCAAGTCTGGCCTTGGTGCTAGCACTCGAGTCTGACCTTGGTGCTAGCACTCGAGTCTGACCTTGGTGCTAGCACTCGAGCCAGACCTTGGAGCTAGCACTCGAGCCAGACCTTGGTGCTAGCACTCGAGCCAGACCTTGGTGCTAGCACTCGAGCCAGACCTTGGAGCTAGCACTCGAGCCAGACCTTGGAGCTAGCACTTGAGCCAGACCTTGGTGCTAGCACTCGAGTCTGACCTTGGTGCTAGCACTCGAGCCAGACCTTGGAGCTAGCACTCGAGCCAGACCTTGGTGCTAGCACTCGAGCCAGACCTTGGTGCTAGCACTCGGGCCAGACCTTGGTGCTAGCACTCGAGCCAGATCTTGGTGCTAGCGCTCGAGTCTGGCCTTGGTGCTAGCACTCGAGTCTGGCCTTGGTGCTAGCACTCAAGCTTGACCTTGGTGCTAGCACTCGGGCCAGACCTTGGTGCTAGCACTCGGGCCAGACCTTGGTGCTAGCACTCGAGCCAGGTCTTGGTGCTAGCACTTGAGTCTGGCCTTGGTGCTAGCACTCGAGTCTGGCCTTGGTGCTAGCACTCGAGTCTGACCTTGTTGCTAGCACTCGAGTCTGACCTTGGTGCTAGCACTCGAGCCAGACCTTGGTGTTTGCACTCGGGCCAGACCTTGGTGCTAGCACTCGAGCCAGACCTAATGACTTGTCATAGGTCGCTACAGAGGCCAGAGTTGTGATAAAGCTGATGTGCCACTCTGGAAAGGTTGGTTACAGGCTGTCAATCAAAGCTCTGAGGATGATTGATGTGTGGAATGGTACTAAATCACCTGTATGTGTTTACATAGTTGTATGTACCTGGTTGTTCTTGCGCGGGGGTTGAGCTTCGGCTCTTTGGTCCCACCTCTCAAGTTCCAGAGACTATTGGGCTCTATTGTATGTACATTTGAAACTGTGTATGGAGTCTACCTCCACCACATCCATTTATTAACTACTTTGACTGAAAAATTATTTCCGTCTCTGTGGCTCATTTGGGCACTCGGTTTCCATCTGTGTCATCTTGTGCGGTTACCTCCTGTGCTAAATAATCTGGGGTTATCTAACTTATCAATTCCCTGAGAATTTTGCACGTGGTAATCATGTCTCCCCTGACTCTTTTTGTCTTCTAGCGACGCAAGGTTTAATTTCTGTAGCATTTCCTCGTAACTCGTGTTTGTATATGGGCGTCCGCGCGCGTGTGCGTGCTTGCTCTAGTTCTTTTGCGTTCGTGAGTGTACGCGTCCGTGTCCGTGCATTTAAATGTGTGCATGCTCGTCCATACGTGTATGTATGCCCGTCCATACGTGTACGTATGCTTGTGTATACGTGTATGTAAGTTGACTTTTTTTTAAGATAAGCCAGAGTTAGATACCTGTCGGAGGTAGATACCTGTTTCCAACCCTCACACACACACACACACACACACACACACACACACACACACACACACACACACACACACACACACACACACACACACACACACACAGACACACACACACACACACAGACACACACACACACACACACACACATACACACACATGAGTTATGAGGAAAGGCTGCGGGAAATGCACCTCACGACACTGGAAGACAGAAGAGTAAGGGGGGACATGATCACAACCTATAAAATCCTCAGGGGAATCGACCGGGTAAACAAGGATGAACTTTTCAACACTGGTGGGACGCGAACAAGGGGACACAGGTGGAAGCTGAGTACCCAAATGAGCCACAGAGACGTTAGAAAGAACTTTTTCAGTGTCAGAGTAGTTAGCAAATGGAATGCATTAGGAAGTGATGTGGTGGAGGCTGACTCCATTCACAGTTTCAAATGTAGATATGATAGAGCCCAATAGGCTCAGGAATCTGTACACCAGTTGATTGACGGTTGAGAGGCGGGACCAAAGAGCCAGAGCTCAACCCCCGCAAGCACAATTAGGTGAGTACAATTAGGTGAGTACACACACATGAGTTACGAGGAAAGGCTGCGGGAAATGCACCTTACGACACTGGAAGACAGAAGAGTAAGAGGAGACATGATCACCACTTTGAGGTTACCTTGAGGTGCTTCCGGGGCTTAGCGTCCCCGCGGCCCGGTCGTCGACCAGGCCTCCTGGTTGCCGGACTGATCAACCAGGCTGTTGGACGCGACTGCTCGCAGCCTGACGTATGGCTGCGAGCCATACGCAAAATTTTCAGAGGAATTGACAGGCTAGATAAAGATAAACTGTTTAACACTGGTGGTACGCGAACAAGGGGACACAGGTGGAAACTGAGTACCCACATGAGCCACAGAGACGTTAGAAAGAACTTTATCAGTGTCAAAGTAGTTAACAGGTGGAATGCATTAGGAAGTGATGTGGTGGAGGCTGACTCCATACACAGTTTCAAATGTAGATATGATAGAGCCCAGTAGGCTCAGGAATCTGTACATCAGATAATTGACAGTTGAGAGGCGGGATCAAAGAGCCAGAGCTCAACCCCCGCAAGCACAAATAGGTGAGCACACACACTCACATGCATTGGCTGTCAATATATTATTCTAATTTAGTCATTTATTTGTCGTTTAATTTTTACGGAAGGAAAAGAGGCGGTTTGTGCGTATGGTTGGTACTGTGACGGTGTGGTTGTTGTGCATGGTTGGTACTGTGTCGGTGTGGTTGTTGTGTATGGTTGGTACTGTGTCGGTGTGGTTGTTGTGTATGGTTGGTACTGTGACGGTGTGGTTGTTGTGTATGGTTGGTACTGTGTCGGTGTGGTTGTTGTGTATGGTTGGTACTGTGTCGGTGTGGTTGTTGTGCATGGTTGGTACTGTGTCGGTGTGGTTGTTGTGTATGGTTGGTACTGTGTCGGTGTGGTTGTTGTGTTGGTTGTTGTGTATGGTTGGTACTGTGACGGTGTGGTTGTTGTGTATGGTTGGTACTGTGTCGGTGTGGTTGTTGTGTATGGTTGGTACTGTGACGGTGTGGTTGTTGTGCATGGTTGGTACTGTGTCGGTGTGGTTGTTGTGTATGGTTGGTACTGTGACGGTGTGGTTGTTGTGTATGGTTGGTACTGTGTCGGTGTGGTTGTTGTGTATGGTTGGTACTGTGACGGTGTGGTTGTTGTGCATGGTTGGTACTGTGTCGGTGTGGTTGTTGTGTATGGTTGGTACTGTGACGGTGTGGTTGTTGTGTATGGTTGGTACTGTGTCGGTGTGGTTGTTGTGTATGGTTGGTACTGTGTCGGTGTGGTTGTTGTGTATGGTTGGTACTGTGACGGTGTGGTTGTTGTGTATGGTTGGTACTGTGTCGGTGTGGTTGTTGTGTATGGTTGGTACTGTGACGGTGTGGTTGTTGTGTATGGTTGGTACTGTGACGGTGTGGTTGTATGTATGGTTGGTACTGTGTCGGTGTGGTTGTTGTGTATGGTTGGTACTGTGACGGTGTGGTTGTATGTATGGTTGGTACTGTGTCGGTGTGGTTGTTGTGTATGGTTGGTACTGTGACGGTGTGGTTGTTGTGTATGGTTGGTACTGTGACGGTGTGGTTGTTGTGTATGGTTGGTACTGTGACGGTGTGGTTGTTGTGCATGGTTGGTACTGTGACGGTGTGGTTGTTGTGTATGGTTGGTACTGTGACGGTGTGGTTGTTGTGTATGGTTGGTACTGTGACGGTGTGGTTGTTGTGTATGGTTGGTACTGTGTCGGTGTGGTTGTTATGTATGGTTGGTACTGTGACGGTGTGGTTGTTGTGTATGGTTGGTACTGTGACGGTGTGGTTGTTGTGTATGGTTGGTACTGTGACGGTGTGGTTGTTGTGTATGGTTGGTACTGTGACGGTGTGGTGTTGGTACTGTGACGGTGTGGTTGTTGTGTATGGTTGGTACTGTGACGGTGTGGTTGTTGTGTATGGTTGGT